ACGAAAATTTCAGCTTTTTTCCATTGCTCTGGAATGTATTTACACCAAATTATCGTATTAAAAATGGCAACCAATTTCATTACTGCGCGGTTAGGTAGATTTTTAAGAATTAATCCTGAGATTCTATCAAAGCCAGGGGCTTTTTTGGCTTTGATTTTGCCTTTGATCTCTTTTACTATCTCTGATGGAGAAATTGATTTGATTTTAATTGGTGGTATTTTCTTGACTTTTTGGGGTTTCAATGTGGACACAGATCATTGTTCTTGAGGTCCCGACTCGGAACTGCTGGAGAAGTTTTTATCTACTGTAGGTATTGATTCTATATCATTATGAGGCAGAAAAACCGTCTCAAAATGATCTGCCAACACTTCAGCTTTTTCAAAGTCCGAATTGGCCCATGACCCATCGGACTTTTTAATTGGAAATTTGAGCTGTTTGGGTCTTTTTAGATATTTAGTGGCAGCTCATAGTGTGTAATCCTTATCTGCCTTTGCTGATAAGGATTGAATGAATCTCTCAAATTTTTTATTCAGGAATTCCTGGGTGTGTTTTTTGACCAGTTTGTTTAATCTATTAAAATGTGTGCTGTCGGTTGGATCCTGTGTTTTATTAAAGGATCTTTGGGCTTATCTTTTCAAACGGATTAATCTCAAAAGATGTCTAGGTATGGCGTATGGCCTTGCGTTGTTAATGGCGACTGGAGTGTTGTTTTTGGCACTAGACACGATTTGCTCCACCAGCAGCTCAGTCTCTTTATCAATGTCCTCTGGGGTGGCGATTTTAACGTTGTTTAAGATTAAACTGTCTAATTCTTCGCTGAATGAGTTCCAATTTGTTCTTTTTGAGTAGATGGTTGGGGGACGGTCAGCCAGAAAGGGGTTGGTAAATATGGATAAAATTACTTTTGCGTGCCCACTTTTTGGGGGTGAGAAAATGTCACATGTGGTCTTATCTATAAGTTCTAAATTTTTAAAATAAAGAAGTCTATTATATCGGGTTGATGATTTTGATCATAGGGATAATTTGTAGGTTTGCCTGGAGAAATAAAATTTCCGTCAACTGATTTGACGGCTTCATAAAGTGAATCTCCTTTAGGGTTGGTTGCTCTAGAACCCCAATAGGGACTCTTTGTGTTAAAATCGCCTCCCACAAGATATGAGGATCCCAGCTTACCAAGAAATTCAGAGTACTCGACAGATGAGATAACATTGTGAGGATGAGTGTACAATGATGCCACGTTGAAGTTTCCTATCTCAGTATGTATGCTAATGACAACAACTTGAAAAACAGGGGTTTCAATGATCTTGATTAAATTATGTTTTATATTTTCTTTTATAAGGATGGATGAACCACCCCTGTGCTTATTAGCCGGATGAAGAGCATTGTACATCCTGTAACCTGCAAAGTACCTTTTGTAATCGTTTGTGGTGAACCAGGTCTCCGACAGGAGGGCTATGTCCACATTGAAATCCCTTAGCCTGACATTGAATTCCTCGGCCTTCACTCGGGTCAGATCGCCACAGTTCCAAGCTATGAAATTTAATGATTTGTTGTTGCTTGGTCGTGGTTGCAATCGCACCACATCATCGTAATCTCTACACTCATCATCCTGCTCTGGAACAAGTAATGAGTCATTTTTAACACAATGCAAAAAGACATTTTCATTTACATTTTTATACAGAGAGTCAGTAGTAGATGAATCACGATTATTCAAATTCAGTAAATCACTCATTTCTTCGATTTCCTGTGAAGGTATTAGAGGGTTGTCAAATGAATCATTGTCACACATTTTGGGAGAATGAAATTATTTATCTTTTCTGGCTAACTTCAAGTTTACTCATTTTCTCGGTGAGAACTCTGAGCTGAGCGTTCAAAGTTTCTATTGTTTGTAATAAGACACCGATCAGAGCAGCAGAACTGTCTCTTGCGCCCTGTGTCGCCAGATTAGCTGTATTGCCTGATAATGCGTGAGCAAAAGTCCTATCTAATTTCTTTGGAGGAGCATGAGTTGCTATATTTCTCCCTAGTTTCGGAAAACTTTTTTGATCAGGGGAATTTTTCTTAGCTTGGAGTTGCTTTTTTCGGGCAACTTGGAATTCTTTCGCAAAGGGACATCCGCGATAACTCGCGGGATGACCGATCGCTCCACAATTTACGCATTTTGGATTTAAGATCCGACCTTTAAAAGGACACTCAGGAGATAAATGTTTGCCTGCGCCTTTGACACACCGTGGATTTTTTCTGCCAAAGTTGGCAGTATGCGAAAAACACTGGCATCTTTTGCTCTGTGGAACTATCTTATTATCTATCTTCATTGGCTCTATTTGAACAATAGTAAAAGCAATTGCTTTGATCTTATAGATGTTTTCTATTGATTCTGAATGGTCAAAATCAAGTTGATGAACTGGTATTCTTATGAGTTCGAATTCCTTGTTAGGTTTAGCATTTGTGGTTTGATTTTCAGATGTTGTGCCTGAAAGGGAGGGGGGGGGTAGCAGATTGAGGATCAACATCCATAGGGATAATTGTTTTTTCATTTTTTTTCTGTTGTTTCTCGACTCTTTTTCTCATGCAAACGGCTGATTTAATTTTGAAATTTTTGGAAAGGAGATCAGAGACAATTTCATCTTCAGGTATGGAGGGGGGGAGACCTTTGCATAAAACTTCGATGTTGCGAGTGTTTTTATTGGAGTGAGAATACCATTGTACTTCTCTTTCGTTTAGTTTTTCAGAGATATTTCTGAAAGTTTCATCGTTAAAGGGATTTACTTTCCAGGTTTCACAACCTTAAATTTTTAGAACGTACTCATCTTTATCAGATGCTTCTTTGAGGAGTCGCTTAATCGCCTGATAGTCTTTAATTCCTACCACTTTAATGGGAGGGGGTGGTAGAATTAGAATTTTTGGGGACCTATCATTAGGATTAGACGTATTAGACTTATCTCTAGACTTAGAGTTGTTCGACTTATCCTGTGTAGCTTGGACGTCTGCTCCACTTCCAGAGGCGTCTTTGGAGTCCGGGCTGTATTTATCTTGCTTCCTTTTCCTCTTTGTAATTCTTTTAACTTTCTTTGCCGCCGTCCTTCAGTTGTTTTGATACTCCGGATCTGAATTGTAGTTCGGCCAGTCACCTGATGAAGAATCATCATCCGTTCCCGCATCTAGCAGCAGGGCTCCAAATTTCCCGCTGTTTTGTTGGGGAATTTCCTTGTTGACAGCCATGAATGTCTTCCCCTTATTTTTAGAGCCGTCGGCCACTTGAGGTTGCGGCTTATTTAGTTTAATCTCCTTAATTTCGGCCAGCATTGCTTTACTATCACTTTGTATTTTATCCATGAGGGCCTTTTGCTCTTGAATAAAATTCTTTGCAAGGACATTTTCACTGTGCAGCGACTTAACAACAGAAATCGACTGCAGAACAAACAATTTTTTCGTTTCATTTAGTGCAGGGTCTCCCTTGACTTTTTCAGGGTCTGTGGTTAGGATTGCTTGTGCTACTTTTTTGATCTCTACCTCCCCCTTATTCGAACCGCTATCACTGTCCGGAAGGGGTTGTGCGCCAGCTTCAGCATTATTCTCGGGCTTGCTTTCCCCTGGTGTCCCAGGAGGCAATCTTGAAAGAATCGAACTCTTCTGAAAGGGGTTTATATTTTCAGCATTTTGCATCGCTGTAGGTGTTTGAGTTTTCAACGGACTCGCTCTGGGGAGAGCCAGTCTTCCTTTTCACAGCCGATGAACCGACTGTCTTTCCAATAACACAATATTGTGTTTGCTTAGTTGATGCGAACTCGATATAAGATATCACCGCACTTGTTTACGCGCTGCTATGCACGGGATCTGCCCCTTGCGCGTGCTGACCGACCGTGATGAGCGGACTTTGCCCGTTTACGTTCACGATACGAAAGTCAAAACATTCGCGAATTTTCGCTAACTTTTCTCCGGCGAGAGCACGACCGCACCGCTCGAATGATCAACACCGAATGCGCCTATTGTCGGTCCTGAACAGGGGATTGTTGATACCGCTCAGATCGTGGTTGAAATTTTTAGGGTGTTCAAAGATAAAGATATTTATTTTTTAGATAAAGATCTTTTCTTTTTTAATTTTTTTATTGAAATTTGAGTGAATATTCAAAAAATATGATATCACCTTGGCTTTATATAACAAATTTAATGTGGGAAAATGTTTTAGTGAAAACATAGACAATTAGGACACAGACGACTGCGAGAAATCCGGCATTTATAAAATAGACTGTAAAAATTGCGACAAGGTCTATATCGGTCAAACGATTAGATCGTTGAAAATTAGGGGCAAAGAACATTCAAATTGCATCAAGAAAAAAGAGATTGAAAGGTCGGCAGTGGCAGCACATGTTTGGAAAGAAAACCATGAAGTAAACACGAATCCTTCAATCCTTAAAGAAATTAATAAAAAGCAAGATCTAACAACTTGGGAAAATATCTTTATCTTTAAACATCCTAAAAATTTCAACCAAAATCTTAGCCGTATCATTAATCCCCTGTTCAGGACCATCAATAGGCGAGGTGCGAAGGAAAATTATAGCGACCGCCGCGGCGCGGGTCAGGGAACCAGCCGCACTGAGGATGCCGGAGTTTTGAGCTGGCGAAACGCGTCCGCAATTTAACTAATTTTTACGTGCAAGTGAGTTTTACAGTTTTTATTTGATCAATTATCTTGTGCGGGTCTCCAAACGAATCTTGATGATTCTCCAACAACGAACAGTTTGCCCAAAATCAGCATCGCAATGATTATGTTCTCGGATGGAATCATGTTGACATCGTTTCCCACCATGCTTGCTCTTACGGTTTTTTGACGAGTTTTGGTGTTGCTGAAGCGGAAACAAGACTTAATTCAGTATATGATCGGCAAATTTATGTCACGAAAGTTATTAAATTTTTACATGTATTTTAAATTTCATTATACACCTTTTTTGGTGGTCCAACTCTTTGTGCTTCATTCTTTAGTTCGGTTTATTACCCAGGCTCTCAAAATAAAAACGTGAAGGCCACTTCCTTGGATGATGCCCTCAATCTATTAATGTCTGGATTCCTACGTGGAGGAACTGGTTTCCTAAAAGGCACTGGAGAAATAATCAAAGGGAGCTCAACTGTCAACAGAGAAGTTCGCGTTGGCGTAACTCATGTATGTAACCCGCTTCAAGCTACAACATTTTTTTTTCCTTCTAAGTGAGGACTCCTGACATTCATCTATCTCTTTTATGTGGGGGGAAAAATTTACATATTTTTGGATATATGTAGATAGAATTGATCAAATTTTGATGTATTGATCATATGAGTGATCTTCAAAGGCTTTGATGCATCAATTGATCTTTAATTTTTTGGGGACCCATACATGTTTGGCATTTTTCCAAATTTAGACTTATAAAGTTTTGGTCTTTTTATCTTTTTGAACCCACAAACTTTTCATTTCTGGACCTATTGCGGACTCAAAATTCTTTAATTTTTCACATAATTTCCGGCGAAAAAACTTTCGAGAAATGAACGTGACGCTCACTTTTATTTCCATATAGTAACATGCTTTTTGGAAAAATAGCATAAGTGACTCATGTATTATTAAACCTTAATATGCAATAGGTTAACATAAAGGTCATCATTAGATCAGCCCAAAAAAATTTGGTGATTCTGCCATATAGGAGCCAAAATACTTTGATTGAACATTCCAACTGTTGTAAGTTTTCGTCCGGACATCAAGCACAGTTCGGTGCTTTTAGCAGGGTAACTACAGGTCTGGAAAACAGAGAATATCATCAGGTCAGATCAATGAGGGAAAAATCGTAAAGTTTGATGAAAAAGACCGGAATCCTGATAGATCTCGAAATTTGAAATCTGAACACATGATCCACATAATCAAGCTTATAGTGAGTCACAGTCTGGTTCTAAGGTTCATTTTTCTGAGTTATACTCTAGAAATTGAATAGAGGATCGAATAATTCTATAATTTTAAAGGAATGGACCCCTGGACAAGGTATGAATTGAAATACTCTGATATACTTCTGTTTCTTCCTAAAAATTTCATGTAAAACGAAAATTACTGAAATTCTCATCCAACAAAGGTATTAACTTTTTTATTTAGCATTGGTTACAATTTGAATTTCCCGTTCACAAGAAAAACAATTGTCTGCTTGAATCAAATCGCGCACTACAACAGTTTTGGCAGGCCTCTCAATTAGCAGTTTTCATCTCCCTCCCAGGTGTTAAAAATGTAAACAACATTCAGGAACTGAGCTGCAGCGTCGATATTGAGGTTGTCGTATTTTCTTACTGCAGAGGCTATTTTGGTAATGTTTAGCGTGTGATCTAACTCGAGTAGATTATTGTTTCTTCTAAAAGGGGAAAGTTTGAATTTATGCATAGAAAGACGTTGGTACCTTCATTGGGAATTATTTTCAGTAATCTTCGTCGGACAAATCGTGTTCTAAGTGAAATTTTGACGTATATCTACAATTTTATTTTATAAACTTTTACAAGTAACATTAAGTATGGAACGGGCGAAAAAACACTAAGCAGCAAAAGGGGCGACAAAAGGACCAAGAAGTATAAAATTTATTTATACGCAGAAAGGCGAGGAGCCTTCCGCTGCTCCTCTGAAGGAAGGGTAGGTATGGCACTTTTGACGAAACGAACTACGCGTTGCTACTAGGGTTTCTACGGACACTTTTATTCTAAAATTTCGACGGAATCCTCTCTTCCAGACTTTAAATAATAACAACAAATGAAATACTATCAGAAAGACACTCGAAACACACTCTCAAACCTACACGCGGCTCCCGTGCCGAGTTCGCTTAGTTCACGGCGTGGCGGGCTGATCGCGGCCTGGCCAGGATTGCTGGTGAGCTATGACAAGACTTATTTTAGAGATTTTCTGGAAATCGCGAGTAGAGTCGCTTTAGCTTCCCTTTTCTCTTGCGGCCCAATCCTCTGGGCCAATCAGGGCCTTACAAACACCCTGCTTTTCACAGGAGAACTGAGGAGCATCATTTTGCCTCATCCTTGCAATTTTCAGCTGAGCTGTTGTCTGGACAGGAAACACAGAGCACTGTTTCTAACTGCGATGCTTGTTTTTCCCATGCAGGCAGAAACCCAGACTATACGTTTTAGCAATATGGGTTTATAGGTGATCGAGTTTAATCAGTGACCCCTCCCCAACTTTTCAGTGGATTCTACCGCTCGAATCCCTTGCGAATGGTAGATTCTTATCATTATTAGCAACAACTCCAAAATTAAAATATTGTGCCAATATGCCTAAGGTGATGGAAACTAATTATATATGTTGTAGACAAATCCCGTAATTTGGACACATCGCGATATGTCTAGACAAATCGCGATCTGTCTAGACAAATCGCGATCTGTCTAGACAAATCGCGATTTGTCCAGTCATATCGCGATCTGTCCAGTCATATCGCGATTTGTCCAGTCATATCGCGATTTGTCCAGTCATATCGCGATCTGTCCAGTCATATCGCGATTTGTCTAGCGCCGTTTAGACAAATCCAGACTTTGAAAAATAGATCGGGATTTGTCCAGACACATCGCGAAGTGGCCGGACACTTCGCGATCTGTCTTCCGACTCTTTGGACGAATCGTTAAAAGTAATATCGAAAGAAATACGAAAGGTTACGGGAGAACAAAGAGTTAATTTGGCCTTGCTTTGTACCAATTTTATAGAAACCATCGTTGACACTTAGGATCACACCAATTACATTACTAGCATCCACTTTTCCTCGGTCAACAGAAGGAACCGGAATTTTCACGTTAGGGCCAACTGTCAGGGGTTGGAATTTTTTTTTACTTGCGGACTTCATCTTCTTTGCTTGACTTTCTAGACCAGATTTAGCCTTATCTCTTGCCCTTTTTATCCTTTGATGCCAGTTTTGAATGTTCACATGAGAGGTTGACGGTTGTGTAGCCTCTGCATTATTATCTTCAGGCGCTTCATTAATGTTCTGAGAATCAGCAGCATTTTGAGGCGTGCCAGTACTTTCTGGCACGCACTTCTTTCTCTTACGCACTTCTCGCCCCGGTTCACCCATTCACCGGTTCACCGGCTCTACCGATTTGTCCAAAGAGTCGGAAGACAGATCGCGAAGTGTCCGGCCACTTCGCAATGTGTCTGGACAAATCCCGATCTATTTTTCAAATTCTGGATTTGTCTAAACGGCGCTAGACAAATTGCGATATGACTGGACAAATCGCGATTTGTCTAGACAGATCGCGATGTGTCCAAATTACGGGATTTGTCTACAACTTATACATTAAAATTAAAGACTTTTGAGGGGTGTCAGAACTGTATATTTATGTACATTATACTAGATGGGGGAAAAACCTAAGGGTAAACCCAAAAAGGGAAATAACTAGGTGGGATAAAATTTAAAAAATCCTGAGAAATTTTAATGAGGAAGTATGTACTTTGGTGCTTACATTGTTTGGTGTTTAGTGCTCTACCGAATGATTAATTTCTGAAGGAAAAAGTTTCGCATGTTTTTATGATTTACAGTGACATTCATGCCCAAAATATTTCATTTTCAGTTCCATGTATGCAAATTTTCAATGAGAGAATTTAGGAAGTTTTAATTATTTTGGTGAGAGAAAACCTGGAAAAGTCCGAGAATTTTTTCCTGCAGAGTCTGCAGACACTCTATCATAGGCTTGACTGCTGGCCGATAATTGAATTTGATAGGGAAAGCTTACGACAAAGCAGACAAAAGGGATTTGGAGGGAGCCTATTTGGAAGCCGACGATTGCAATGGACAAAGTAGGGAGGCAATAGACCCATAAGCCCATAGGAACCACCCATTTCAACCAATAGGATCGCTCCATACTCCCTATGTTTTCTTTTTCCATCGCTGTGTCTGTCAATTTCAAAAATCAGTCTGCTGGTTCGAATACCGCATCCTTTCCTTCTCCTGCATCTGTTGAGTCTGTTTTAAATATGACTGACACGACAAGAGGCTCATCTCTTCTCCCTTATCCCAAAATGAATGGCATCCCATCTTACCGCATGTTGTTCTCAACCCCCCTCTGCCCTGCCATCCCTCCTGATTTAGCTTCCGCATTCCTTCTTAATGACGCTTTCCCAATCGCGAAGAGTGTGGCTTCTACATGGCCGAATCGCTTATTTTTTGGCTTTGTGCTATTGATGAACTTCATGACAACTAGAGTCCCTTCAGTCAGTAAAAACGGGAAAACATCAGGATATTTGATTCCATCTGGAAAACTACCAGGAACTTCTGACTATGTCAAGCATTTTTTTTATATTGAGCCTCTGCAGGTGTGCACAGTTTTTTTGCACTCTTGTATCTACAAGATATGACTTTTCGCCAATTCGTCGCCAATTTTTTTCATTCCGTTTGTTAAATTTAGCCGTTTACCCAAAATTGCCTTTCTTGGACTCCATTATAGTTATCAAAGAAAATTTTACTCTGTCATGTAAAATTACGCAATCTTAAGCGTCAACTTGTCAGCAACGTGCAGCACATCAATCATACTCTCAAAACTACGATCTATCATGAAAACCATTTTGGTTCTAATTGTGCTATCTTGATTCAACCAATTTAATTACCCTTTATTTCAGGCATATGTGTCGTTCGTTCAAACTCTAGGGAGCACATGGCTGGAACGGAATTTAAGTAGTTTGCTGAATCATATACTAGATGTTGTTGCCAACCCGAAAGCTGCCTCTTCTCACGTCGATGCTGTATATTCACGCAAATGTATCAGTTTCATTCTTCGCAGCACGCTAGGTCGCATGTTGGGCGAGAAAGCTCAGACATCCGCTTGTAAAGAGTTAGCTCACATTGTTACAAAACAAATGTTGACCATTGGTAAGTTCTTACATCTTTCAAAGTAATTTTGGTACTTTTTTATTTTCAATTCATGCTATTAACTGCGTATGAAGTCGCACATGGGTGCCAATAGGGGTGAGAGTTTGAAGTTTGTCCTACTTCCATGGGGGGTCCCCTCGTCACCATTGAAAAAATTACGTATGGAATCCTGAAAAATCCTCCTCTGAGCTCCAGTTATCTGAGAATAGGCCATTAGAAAGTTTCATTTTCATAACAAATCGATTTAAAACTATCTGTTGGCCGGCAGTATAATTGATTGTTACAATGGTACATTGGAGAGCACACAACTGTCATGCCATCGAGATTTCTAAATTACCAGTGTCCTGTGCATGTTCTTTGTAAGTTTCTGTAGCCTCACTGGTCCGGTAACTGTCAGTCCGTATGCATTGGCATGACAATCAATGTATTAAGTTTTCTTGGAAGTTTCTTTTTTCAATTTTTCATTGAATTCTGCTATATTGTAGGGTTGTTCTTGTTAGTAAATAAGTTTTAAGTGAATTTTATTTTCGTATATTTTTTTCCAGACTTTAACCCAGAAAATGCCAAGGATTGTAATCAGGAAACCCTTTTTAGCCAACATTTGCTAGTTTGTGCACTCCATGAAATGTCATGTTTGATTTTTAGTCTAGGGACAACTGCCAGCAATATTCTTTTGGATCAAAATGCAAGTAAGTGAAACTGAAGTAAGCCTTTCTTGTCAGAAAAGTACAGCACTGAAAAAATAGCACGGTACACTAAAAGACATATTTTTGAGTATGTACTTAAAGCAGTGTTGGAATTTTTTCCTCTTGTTCCTCAGAAATCTCTTTAAAGCAGCTTTAAATTGGCAGCAAACGCAATATATATGCAAACTATGTGGTTTGAACATGGCAAAATCCCTTAAACAAATCGTGGTAAAAAAGAGAAAAAATCCAAAGGAACACTGCGTTACTCTAATTTACATATACAGGGTGGCCCACACCTACCGCACCAGGCCTTTTTTTCGGTTACTTTGGGTCTTACGAAGTCCAGGATCGCGCGGTCTAATAGGGAATCGACCCCAAGAAATCCGAATTTCATGGTCCCAGAGCCCTCCTGGCGGTCCTTGGGGGGTAAAAGAGGGGTTGGTACTTCTAAAGTCAGGGTTAATGTCAAAACTTTGAAATTATTTCATCGGAATCAGACCATATGGAAATTTTTAGCTTAAATCGACACCAAAAAATCCAAAATCGGCCCATTCGGTTCCAAAATACCGACCCCTCAAGGTGGGGGACAGAGCCCCTTTCAAAGAAATTCAAAATAGTTAAAGTGACGTGGAGACTCGGGAAAAATGTGTATTCACGGGTAATCGACCCCAAGAAATCCAAATTTGAGTGTCCCGTTGTCCTCAGAGACTTTTCTGATGGGGCACAGGGGTACCTCCACACCGGTTAAATTTAAAAGTTCAGAGTCCCCCTGTGCCCCATCAGAAAAGTCTCTGAGGACATCGGGACCCTCAAATTTGGATTCCTTGGGGTCAATTACCCATGAATTCACATTTTTTCCGAGTTTTTACGTCAATTTAACGAACTTGAATTTTTTTAAAGGGGGCTCTGTCCCCCACCTGTAGGGGTCGTCGGTATTTTGGACACGGATGGGCCGATTTTGGATTTCTTGGTGTCGATTTAAGTTAAAAATTTCCATTTGTTCTGATTCCAATGAAATAATTTCAAAATTTTGACATAAACACTGACTTTTGAAGTAGGAACCCCCCTTTTATCCCCCAAGGGCCTCCAGGGGGGCTCTGAGACCATGGAATTCGGATTCCTTGGGGTCGATTTCCTACCCATCCCCGCGATCCTGGACTTCGTACGACCCAAAATAACCGAAAAAAAGGCCTGGTACGGTAAGTCTGGGCCACCCTGTATTTAAAGGAAGGAGACAAATCCTTCTGCTGCGTTTAATAGCATCACTCACAACTTTCTTCTTACCTACACTGGTTTTAATTTTTCGACGTTACACTGTCAAGTATACAGAATTTCCTTCAAAAATGCCGTTATATGTAGTTGTGGTAACACAAAATTATATTTCTTTCTTGCTTACTATCCACCAAAAGACACTAATTGCGCAAGCGCTATATGTAAATTTCGGACAAATCCAAGAGAAGCATTCACTTAGGTATAGCATGCATGCATCAAAAAAGGGGAAATTTGGTGATCGAACTGTTGTGCTTTTTTTTTGGTCTTCATCATCGAGTCATGCATAGTTTACTTTTTATTTTTCAGAAGGTGGAGATTTGCTCGGTGCAGCATATGCTGTTTTGTCCCATCCATGCCAGGCTGCTCGGCTGGCTGCAGCATGGTGTCTCAGATGTATTTGTGCTGCCATTCCTAGCCAGTGCACTCCTATGATAGATCGGTAAACTGATTTCTGTCCCTTGAAAGTCTTTGACATGGTTTTTTGTTGCCTTTGATTCTCCAGTGAAGTTATTTTACAAGGGTCATTCTAAAAGTAAATTTAGTTACCCCTTTCATATCTTGGAAATTAAAAAAGATAAATCAAATTGGTAAAAACAAGCTTCTTCCTTATATTCTCACCTCTTTATAGACACCAAGATTTTTAAAATTTGATCACTAGTTGCCGAGAAAATTAATTTTCACGTGATCAACTCCCGGCAAGATCCATCTACTGAACGGCTTGCTGATATGAAATGCCCTGCATGCTGTCGCGCATCGCTGTTATCTCTAATATCTTCTTACCAGGAATTCTAATGAGAAAAGCGCAAAATTCTAACACACATTCTGAGTATTAATCAGTGAAAATGCAAGGGGAAGGAGAACTCAAGAACAGCTCCATCATAATCAGTGGATCCTTAAATCAGTATTGTGCGTTTTAATACGAAGTTGTCATCGGAAAAGTCGCCGATTACGAAATCCGCGCTGTCATTCGTATTTTCGTTGCAAGCCACGAAACTTGGGTCGCTATTCGTAAAAAGTTAGCTGCAGTATACAGTGGTCCGTCTATAAGCTAAGCAATGGTCTGTAAATGGCGGAATCAGTTTCTAAAGGGGGGCAAAAATGTGCACAACGAAAAACGATCTGGACGTCCCAGTCATGCTCTAGGAGACGATGCTGCGATTAATGCGACTGGAAAGATCGTTGAAGAGGATCGCCGGTACAAAATCGACAAATTTTGTGATCTTTTGCCTACAAGTTTTGAAATTGGACGCTCCAGTGTTGCTAAAATTTTAACGAAAAATCTCGGATTGCAGAAAGTGTGTGCACGATGGATAGCGCAGCGTGTCGTTTGGTGGTCGGACCTCATCAGGAGTTGTTAACGTTAAAATCGATTTTTCCGGCAACCAGTGATCCAAAATTAAAAATCTTGGTTTTGATAGAGAGCTGAGGATATAAGAGAGAAGCTTGTTCTTACCTATTTGCTTTATCTTTTTTAGTTCTCGAGTTATGAAAGGGGTAAACTTTCTTTTGGGATGATCTTCGTAAATGTAATCTTCCTCTAGTGATTGAAGACTGACAAAGGCAAAACATGGCCGGTGTATAAAAAAGTCGAAAAAATTAGGTAAAGAGGTAAATTTCTTATTTTTACTGCTGACGTATATCCGTCACTTTACATGCGTTTTAATAATTTACTGTAGTTACTTGCATGGAAACATTAATTTGAATAATAGTGGAGCCTCTATTTCCAGACCATTAGAACCGGTAAGAAGTATTTATGCATAAGTTCCATATCTGCTTGGCAGATTTGCAGGATCCTTTTTGTAAAAGAGACAGAAAGTTTTGAAAAATGAAGTTTTGATTGTTTGCTAATCATACAAGTTTCCATACAATGGCTGATTTGATTTAACATTGATTGTGTGAATTTTTTCAGGATCAAAGGATTTCACTCAATTGATTTTATTTTGAACTGTAAAAGCTACTTCATGGGTTGATTTTGATCATTATTGGTGTCTTTAACTCGTCCTGTTTGAAAGAGGTTGTTCCATCCCCCATTAGATTTGGCCCCCTATCAGATATGATCCATCTTTTCAGGAGTGATACAGTAGCATGCGAGACGTTCAAATATGGCGGTCATTTTGACTTAGGCCCCCCCAGAGAGGGGGGGCGGGGGGTCAAAGTCAAAACCTTCAACTGCCTATAACTTTTGAGCGAAAAATCGGATTGAGTTGAACTTTTTTTTAAATGAAAGATCTCAAAAAGATCTATCTGCTGATACCAGAAAAATTGAAAAAAAGTTAAATTTAATGCAAATTTTTAGCAATTTTTCAATTTTTTAGGGGACAAAATTTTCAATTTTGTCGTGTTTCGGCACCGCGCAATGACTCTACTAAAACAAAAACCAGTTTTTTAGATTCTACACTTAATTTCCTACAAGATGCAAAAAACCGCATCTTGGGGAAACGTTTAGATCGCGAGCTATGGCTCGTCAAAGTTAGCCCCGCGCTGAGCGCGCGCGCCCTACGCTGTTCGCATATCCTCTGCGCGTCTGCCACCGATCCTGTTGCCCCTCCTCCCCCTTCCTAAATGCAAATTAACATTCTACTACCCAGCTTTCGTATATATCTGCGTTATAGGTACGTGAAAATTTCAGCAAGTTCGTGATTTCCAGTGGAATTGATGCTTTATTTCGCTCCCCCCCCCAACCCGGCCACTGTGCTCCAAATATTGTGCAAAAAAGAAATATATAAATTTTCTTGTTTCATGTTTTTGCTGATGTAGCACCCTGTGACTACGAGATCGAATTGAGGTAATTTTTTATCCCACCTCCCAACCACTTTTCGGTGTATTGAGCGTTTACCATTCATGAGAGGCCGACATTATTATGGGTATTCATAATAGGCTGCTGAGGAATTAAAAAATATTTCGCACGATTTTTCTCCACATAGCTTTGAGAAATATAAAATGATTTCGTTGTTGGCAGGGGCACACTTCAGTGCCAGTGGCCGGGTTGGGGGGGGGGGGGGAAATAAAGCATCAATTCCACTGGAAATCACGAACTTGCTGAAATTTTCACGTACCTATAACGCAGATATATACGAAAGCTGGGTAGTAGAATGTTAATTTGCATTTAGGAAGGGGGAGGAGGGGCAACAGGATCGGTGGCAGACGCGCAGAGGATATGCGAACAGCGCAGGGCGCGCGCGCTCAGCGCGGGGCTAACTTTGACGAGCCATAGCTCGCGATCTAAACGTTTCCCCAAGATGCGGTTTTTTGCATCTTGTAGGAAATTAAGTGTAGAATCTAAAAAACTGGTTTTTGTTTTAGTAGAGTCATTGCGCGGTGCCGAAACACGACAAAATTGAAAATTTTGTCCCCTAAAAAATTGAAAAATTGCTAAAAATTTGCATTAAATTTAACTTTTTTTCAATTTTTCTGGTATCAGCAGATAGATCTTTTTGAGATCTTTCATTTAAAAAAAAGTTCAACTCAATCCGATTTTTCGCTCAAAAGTTATAGGCAGTTGAAGGTTTTGACTTTGACCCCCCGCCCCCCCTCTCTGGGGGGGCCTAAGTCAAAATGACCGCCATATTTGAACGTCTCGCATGCTACTGTATCACTCCTGAAAAGATGGATCATATCTGATAGGGGGCCAAATCTAATGGGGGATGGAACAACCTCTTTTGATGAGATACGAGACTTTGTTGTACTGATATTCTCATTCTTTTTAGTGATCCTTAACTTCAGGCATCATCTAACCAAACATTTTAAGGATTTATTTAAATTAAATCATACACAAAAGTGATTATAATTGATGCAAATGAAGTAATACAGACTTTGAGGCAATGCACCCTCCATCAATAATAGGAAAATACTAGTAAAATAGAAAATAAAGTTTTATTTTGAACACTTAAAATAGCTAAACAGTGTTCATTTGATCAATAACAATTAATGTAATAGGTACTCATCTTTTATTTTATAAATGAATGAAACAATAAATCGCCAAGGGCGTTTAGAAGAAACTTTTGCCCACACTCCAATGAAAATGTAGGTGGAATATCACATGACCTCCCCCTGTCAGAAATTCTGAAACATTAATTCAATTTTGATATAAATAAAGCCTGTGATAATTTCCTCAAAAGGGTTCGAAATTTTAGTTATTATTTTACTTGTTTTATCACTTTTGCCAATCTAGCGATTCAAAACTCAAAACGTAATCTATTTCACAATACTGTCATAATACTTTTAATTGAGTCTATATGTCATTCAGTTATCTTTAATGTAATCTCACTAATTCCAGTGTCTTTAATTGAATCTCTGCAGATGCTTGGAAAACATAGAAAATCTAAGGACATCTCCAGAAGCAGTATCAGGATACAGTTCTGCTCTAGCTGCTGTTTTAGGAGGAGTCAAGCTTTCTTCTCTAGGAGTTCCTCACAATAAAGGAAAAGTAAGCTTACATTTCACAGGGGTGGCTCAGAAAGTGGCTGCCTCCAATTTTGATGCGGTCTGTGGAGCATAGCAGTTAAAGTACAGTTGATTGATGGGTGCTTTTTCCGTATTAGCAAATGGGCCTCCAACCGCCCCCTCCCCTCGAAAATGGTCTGGAAATAGCCCCTGATCATTAGCTGCACGATAGTTACGACTGAAGTTATGCGGTGCACTGTATCTGCTGTAATGACAAAGCAGTATGGCACTCACCTGGTGGCCGCAAAGTCATGAGTTTGTATCCCAACAATCACCATTTTATTTCCCCTTTTTTTTTCAAGTTACATTTTTTATTGTGTTTAAAACAAAATGTCAAAAATAATAAATAAATGAACAATATTAAAGACCTCCTTAGAACATCCCCTTCCACTTATGGCATTCTTAATAGTTATGCCGTCCTTCGAAAAGGTTTTCTGGGGGGAGGGGGGTTGATATTTTTTATTTGTTTATTGTAAAGGGGGGTCATTCAAAATCGGCGATTTTGCCCCCCTCATGGGTATTTCCTCGAGTTAGATATGTTGTTCTTTATGTTGTTCTTTATTACAAGACACACTTTTTTTCCGGCAATGGCAAGTTCACCAAAAATTTTTCCTTCGCTACAGCGTAGCCAAGTTGAAAACGTGGCTATTCTGGTAAGGGCATAAAAATTGAGCCAAACAGTCGCGGTTTGAACAAAAATTCTCTAAAAATTGCACCTTTCAAAGAAATGTCCATGTTTTCTATGTCGTATTAATTTTAACATGGATTGTTGCCAATTTTTCCATTTTTAAATTAATCAATTTTTACAATTTCGCAAATATCTCAAAAGGACTCTATTTAGTTTGATTTTGCATCCATCGATATATTGTAACTTGCATGGAAATTCTTTTTTCTCAAGATATGGCCATTTTTGTAAGGGCTTTTTGGAGCAACGGCGCCCGTTAAGTCTAGTCAGATAGGTTTTTTAGCCGTCAAAAACATCAGGCAGCACTAATCCTTAGGTAATCTGTGTAATTTTTGACGCTGAATCCGAACTTCAACCATATTTCACAAACTTTTTGCCGGAAAGTTGCCAAATTTGGCAAAAATTGCTTGAAATCGGCCTGTTTTGCGGATTATGGTCTGTGACTTGACAAGGGTTGATCTGACGGCAAAATTGGTTATTTTCAAAGTTAAAGCTCGTTGAATGTTCTATGAAATGGGTTCAATGCTTTTTTTTTTTTTTTAATCAAAGCGAAATTTAAAGCTCTGACAAGCGGAAAATTAAAAAAAGCACCGAAATCAGTGCTTTTTGCGGTTTTTGGCGAATGCTTCCTGTTCACAGACAGTATGAAAATTTCTCATGACAATCTTAATGATACAGAGTATTGAAGAATTATTTGAAATGAACTCTCAAGCTTGAATAAAGCTTTCTAAGTTCCAGCTGGAGTGGAGAGGATCGCCGATGTTATGGTAAGAGTCCACCTGTATACTCGAATCAAATTCTTCATTCACAGATAGCGAGCAAAGTTTGCAGGGCCCCATGGTTCCAGCCTCAGATTCCTGAAACCAAGGGGCAACCATGCAATGTATTTGCTCCCTCTCCGTTTATTAAAAGTTTGACTGGCTGTAGAGGGGGACTCGCCATAACATAGGTGATCCCTTCCATTACAGCCTCAACTTTGAGAGCTTTTTTTGAGCTTGGGAGTTTGCTCCAGAGAAAACCAATGACACCATGGTGTTTCTAGCGAAATTTTCCATGTGGACAAATATTCAAGTCCCAAAATTCTGCAGCATGCAGGAATTTTATTACAGAGAGCAGCTGAACACCAAAGTGTTAAATTGTGGAAAATTCCAGCATTTTACTGCAACTATGGTTCAAAAACTCGCAAATCTCATATCATTCTGATCAGGTAAATCGCCTAGTTATACCAATCATTTTCTTCATTTGTTGAAGAGTTTCAAAGGGTCTCCTAATTGTTGCTTCAAATTTTTGTAGATTATCTTCAACTGTGCGGAGGAGTTGTTGCGAAGCGCAAGCCAGAATAGTCGATTATCATTGATTAGAACTCAAGCCGGGTGGTTACTTATTGGAGCTGTGATGACATTAGGTAAGTCTTCTATTAAATCATCGAATTTGACAATGATTCAATGCAGGTTTTTTAGATTTTAATTTCTTGCAGAACAACACTTAACAATAGACTCAACTACTGCTGATAGGATTTTCGTTGTATAACAGAATAGGATGTTTCAGAAGATTTTCAAAGTTTGGGATGCACCTCTCAAAATGCCTCTTTAAATGATATTTGGGGACTTGTAAATTTGTTCATTCAACCATTTGGGGACCACATAGTCTGTCTTGTTCTCATCACATTGTCAATGTCACGTCTGAGCGCTGCGTAAATAGAGCGCAGCACACCTATTTAAACCGTGTTTGGTTGAAATAGGTAGGATTCTTTAATCTTTTTGCACTATAGCAATCCCTGCAGATTTTTGTGCAGCTTTTGGTTTGTCTCACATCGCTGTCTACAAGGATGCATGTGGACTTTCTCTCGTTGTTTGACAACACTGATGATGAGTTTGATTCACCCTAATTATCTGATTCTTACTGTAGATGAGATAATATTCATCAGCGCCCTCTTCTAGGTTTGTAATAAGTTGATCAAAATATTTGAGGACAAGTGGGATAAAACCCTGGAAGGAAAAAATTATTGAAGTGAAGCAAATGCTATTCTACGCACAATTAAAATTGAGATTATATTATTAACGTCAGCCTTATGAGAATTTGATGTGACCCTGCAAAAATTTAACCTAATGAAATATATTTCTCACACAGCATTTGACTGAACGTGGGTTGACTATATTCAATTTACAACCTCGGGAAATGAGTTTAGGATAATTAATTGTAAGTGGTCAAAGTTAGTAGCTTTTGCCTTTTTAAAAACTAATTCTAGGTCAAATTAAATCATAAATCAATGGATAAACCGTTCAAAGATCCTAGGCGCAAATGTATCATTACTTTGAGAAATAGCAACATTGCAATTTGAAGACAGCCAAAACTTACGATAGATTCGGAGGCCAGAGGCAGCCTCTTGTCACACAAGCTGTGAGTTCCGTTAAAATTTGCAAGGGGGGGGGGGCGTTTTGCAGGGTCTACAGGTAGAGTCCTTAGGTTTTTCGAAGTTTGGTCAGTTTAAAATTCATCAATTCAATTTTACAGATCCTCATCTCATATTGCCTTTGGGACTCACAGTAACCATCATAATCTATATGGACGTTATATATCATTAGTTTGAACTTAAATCAAATTTATTTTTTCTTCTCCCATCAACACATTCTAATTCATTTTCTAGTTTTCAAGTTTTAATTTAGCATTCTCTTCCCCCCAGGAGTGCCTGTCGTTCGAGGTTTGATAGCAAGGATGCTTCTTCTGTGGAGGAACAGTTTTCCTCGATCCAGCAAAGAATTAGAATCTGAAAAAGCTAGAGGTGATGGCTTCACCTGGCAGGTAAGTTTTGCTGTCATACAAAGGATGACCTAAGAATATTGCATACTATTCTTTTTTGATAGGTAACAACAAGGAATCTAATAGGGGAATCTTTCAATGGTTAAATAACCTACTTGCTTTTAAGAGCTCAATTTTTTGTCAATGTTTGACCTTTGACTAATCATCGAACATCCAAGGCAAGACATCAATGATGACATTTTCAGTACCATAAATGTCCGCAACCTAGTTCTAATGAAGTGAGATGCATAACATAAATTGGGCAACTTAAAGCTTGGTTAAAGGTTTTAAGAATAAATTTTTTGTGGTCTTGAAAGGAAGCAAAAGGAAAGAAAAGAAAGGAGGAAGGAGAAAACGTTTCATAAATGTAGATGAAATAGCTTCAAGGCAATTATTTTCATGAATAGTTATTTTCCACTCTGCGCTGGCCATAAGCCTTGATAGTCAAGTAATGGACACATTCACTTTACTATGCTGCTGTAATAATCAATCACTAAGCCCTTTTATTCTCGTCAGCTGAAAGAAAAAAAGCTTTATGAAATCAAGGTCTGGCTAGAAGTAATTCTGCTGCCTTTGTTTCATCAAAAGTTCATCGTTCTTCTTTTTCCCTAATAAATTTTTGGAAAAAAACTTATCATTCTAATGAATCCAGCGATGGATTTTGGTCTATTACGAGGCTGGAAGTCACAAATGAATTGAACGAAGGGGGCTTTTGATTTGAGCCAACGGGTAGGATACAAGTTTATTAAATTATTAATTAGTTAATTATTTAAAAAACTTTTAATTAGTTAAATAATTGTCTGATAATAATTAAACAAATTATAGAGCAGCCAATTTTATTCTTGCTGGGTTCCTGGTCAGTCTGGCCCTCTTGATCCTTGATTATACTTTGTCGACAATATCCATAAATTGGTCAGATATTCCAGTGAATAAAACTGTGTCCTCTAGATCTGAGTTTCTATTCTGTATATCTGGAAAGACTTCATTGATAAGTTGGATTAATTGCATCCATCAACACTCAAACCTAGTGGTACCGGAGTGTACCAGTGTAGTTTTTACAGATCAAGAAAAGCATTAATTTCTTTAGATCTTTTGTCTGAAGGGTTTTGATGGCATGCCTAATTGAAATTATAACAAAAAAATATTTTGTGTTTTTGAAGAATAAAAATGCTCCATCTTGAGGACACGGCACACAATACCAAGAATGTTGTTGCGAGTCAACACTCAATATTTTTTTGTATGATGCTCCTTACAATCTTCTGAGTAAGGAGACTTTTTAAAATCGAAATTTTCTCGTGCCAATCTCGAGAAAATCGGGTCTGAATTTTTTTTTTGTTTTTTTTTTTTTTTGTTTATTTGCCGCTTTAAAAATAATCGGTACAAAGAATTCAATTTCATACAATGAATGAAAGAAAGGTAAATGTAAAAAGAAGGGAAAGACTAAAAGGACAAAAGCCTCTAAAAAGAAAAAGAACAAAGATAGGAGGCTAGATATTGAAAGGCTGGACTTCCTATAAAAAGGAAGATTCAAGATCCATTTGCGACTCCGGGAATTGCCGGTTGCCATATATCGGAAAGGGTGATTTCGTCGAGCGTTTTCCTCTTAGCAGTCAAGATTGATTTGAGGAAATTTCCAATCGATGACCAGTTCTCTTTAGAGCAGGTGATTAGCTTCTGGAATGAGTTTACGATGAAACGTTCGCCTATCTTGTTCTCCAATTCCGTTTGATCCGTTGAGAATTGAGAACAATTAAAAAGAGTGTGCTCAGGGGAGTCGAAAATCCCTGGGCAGTAGGGGCAACAGTCGGTGGTAGAAACGCGGATACGGTGGAGAAAACCATTGAAGACTCCATGACCTGTGAGTGCTTGTGTAATGAAGAAAGTAGGTTCTCCGTGTTCTCTAGTGAGCCAGCTCTCAGGATCAGTGATGAGTTGCTTAAGCCATCTGTCTTTCTCAGGGGTTGCATTCCAGGTTTCTATCCATCTTCGTCGTGTTTCAGCTTTAATAACCGTCTTGTCTTCTTCCTTGCTCATCAGCCTGACTTTTTCCTCTATTAGAAATTCCGTTGGGGGGATACCACTGATAATGTCAAGGGCGCTTGAGGATACAGTCCTGTATGCCATACAAAGACGAGCTTTGATGGGGCGGATTGCTCTTGTAAGTTTTTTGATGTTTGTCTTAGATACACGAGACGCAGCCCAGATGATTACCCCATAAAAGATAATGGACAGCACTGCGGAGGTGATAAGTTTCCTCTTCAGGAAAGAGGGACCTTTTGTATTTGGCAGTATGCACGAGAAAGTTCTGATAACATATGACACTTTATCACAAATTTTTTCTACGTCGGTGTTGAAAGTTCCGTTGTTATCTAACCAGACACCAAGATATCTCAGAGCGGAAGAGGGGACGATAGGATGATCTATAACTTTAATTTTAACGTTTCTCTTTCTAGAGTTCCTTTTTTAGTCGTGCGGCGAAGCCGTATAGACTCTAGGTTTCGCCGGAGGCTAAAAACTGTCCTTACTTTTAGGCTAAGTCCAAGAGGAGAATTTTCGAGGAACCAAGTAACATATGAAGTATTGATATCGGTGCATTTTGGCCCAATGGAGATGTTACATGTGCGAGGAATTTGCAATTTGACTGTTGATTCTTGTATAAAAGTTCGCGAGGAACACGATGGTGCCACTGGTTTTCTCTGAAATCATCTCCCAAGCTCAAAAAAGCTCTCAAGTTGAGGCCAAAATGGAGGGGATATCCCACCCTACCCTGAGAGTCCACGTCTACATGAAGACAAACTCTCCATGCAAAGATAGGGAGCAAATACATTAGCAGGGTTGCCGTGTTTTCAGTTTTGGAGTCCCCAGATAAATTGGTAGCCCTGTCAATGTATTAGCTCTCTATCTTTGCATGGAGAGTTGGTCTTGATCTAGACTTGGACTCTCAGGGTAGGGTGGGATATTCCCTCCATTTTGGCCTCAACTTGAGTGCTTTTTTTTGAGCTTGGGAGATGATTTCAGAGAAAACCAGTGGCACCATCGTGTTTCTCGTGACCTTTTACACAAATTCAACAGTCAAATCGCAAATTCCTCACACATGCAACATCTCCATTATGCCAAATGGAATTTCTGATCATTTAGCCATGGTTTGGTAGCATTTAGCAATCAACTGTGACCATAATGTAAAGAACCCACACTGGTGCCTTTCGGCGGAATGTCGCCCTATGGCATTCTTTATCATCAAGTCACCGTTGAACATTCACTGTTGAGTAGCGTTTAGCAACCAAGTATAGCCAAAATTTCCAGAACTCATACCTCAGATGTTCAAAGAGTGTTAACATGTGTCGCCAAATGGAATTTCTGATCATTTAGCCATGGTTTGGTAGCGTTTAGCAATCAACTGTGACCATAATGTAAAGAACCCACACAGGTGCCTTTCGGCGGAATGTCGCCCTATGGCATTCTTTATCATCGAGTCACAGTTTAATAGCGTAAATAAGCAACCAACGGTGGCCAAAATGTCAAGACTCCAAACTGGTGCTTTTTGGCTGAATTTCGCCCAATAGGATCTTTGATGATTTATCAGTAATTGTTGATGTTTATGTTGATTAATTATTACTGTCTGAAAGTGAATCCTGTAGGAGAATGTTATAGGGTTGGTTCAAACAAGTTTTAGAATTTTTTTCCTTAGCGCTAATGGACCCTAAGGGACAACTTCAATTCATCGAACTAAAAGTTTTCAATGTTCATAACCATTTTTTAACTGTCAGAACTCACTAGACCACATTATATTCATGATGAATCTAAAGAATATCGCTGTCAAAAGTTGAGTTCTCCTTCAATTTAGCACTTTTTGTCATTACCTTAAAGACCATACGGAAAGTGCTAAATCTACGGAAAACTCAACTTTTCACAGCGGTATTCTTCAAATTTATCATGAATATAATGTGGTCTAGTGAGTTCTGACATTTAAAAATGGGTATGAACATTTAAAGCTTTATTTTCCTTGAATTTAAGTGGTTTTTCAGGGTCTACGGTAAGGAATAAAAGTCTGAAACACGTTAAAAGTTACTTGAACCTACCCTATAATGTTGAGCTATGACTTCAACTTTCATGAACCCTTACTTGTGCCTTTCAGCTTGATTTCGCTGAATGGAATTATTTAAGATTGAAGTCGTGGTTGAGTTTACTATGCTGATAAAATATCATTGGAAACTTTAGGTTTCACCATCATAGTCTTCTAAAAATAACCATCAGCATTACTGCACCAACCAAAATCTAGCCCAAAAAAAAAATAATTCGGCTGAAAAAGTGGGAGAAGTTGGGATGTGCAGTCTCAAAATAAAAATACCTAGCTGTGATTGGACATAGCTTTGCTTTCATTGAGACTTTCAAATTTTATGAATAAAAAACAGTAAGTGTTTAGCAAAAACAGTTAGTTTTGTCCTTACCCGTAGACCATACAAAAAGAGCTAAATTGAAGGAGAACTTAGCTTTTGACAGCGATGCTCTTCAAATTTTTCATATACCTATACAATGTGTTCTAGTGAGTTTGGATGGTAAAAAATGGTCAGGAACATTTAAAGCTTTATTTTCCATGAATGTAAGTTGTCGTTCAGGATAGATTCTGATGACTAGATCCTTACTAGAGTAAGGAAAGAAAGTCTAAAATTGTTAAAAGTCACAGAAAAACGCGAAACAAGAAAAAAGTCGGAAAAGGAAGTCAAATTTACATAACAATTAAATTAACATAAAAATTTCGTAAAAAGTATTGAAAATTACGAACAAATGTATTTACGTAAAAACTGTATTAAAAAGAAAGTTAATTTTAATTAAGAAAAATAATCCTGGTAAATCAATTTCTCACGTAAATTTGACTCAAAATTCATTTAAAAAACAGGGCCGGATTTACGTACTTGCCGCCCATGGGCCGGATTTACCTACTTGCTGCCTATGGGCCACTAGGGTGCGTCAAAAAAAATGAAAGTCTGAAATGTTCTGCTCCC